CTATTTCAGTATTTCGAGGAAAAGGAATATCAGACGGAGTCAAAACGGAACGAAATCAAACTGGAGAAGTTATTTTTGGAAGGAAAGCAACCCAGGGAACTTGGAGTGCACGTCAAGGGAGATACGGGTTGCCCACGAGGGTGGGGGGCGCGCCCACCCCCCCTGGGCGCACCCCCCTGCCTCGTGGGACCCCGTAGCTCCTCCGACGTACCCCCTGCACCCATATATACTCTTGTACCCTAAAACTTCCAGAACAAAAGATAGATCGGGAGTTCCGCCGCGGCAAGCCTCTGTAGCCACCAAAAACCAATCGGGACCCTGTTCCGGCACCCTGTCGGAGGGGGATCCCATCACCGAAGGCCATCTTCATCATCCCGGCGCTATCCATGACGAGGAGGGAGTAGTTCACCCTCGGGGCTGAGGGTATGTACCAGTAGCTATGTGTTTGATCTCTCTCTCGTGTTCTCTCTCGTGTTCCTCTATGGCACGATCTTGATGTATCCCGAGCTTTGCTATTGTAGTTGGATCTTATGATGTTTCTCCCCCTCTACTCTCTTGTGATGAATTGAGTTTCCCCTTTGAAGTTATCTTATCGGATTGAGTCTTTATGAGAACACTTGATGTATGTCTTGCCGTGATTATCTATGGTGACAATGGGATATCATGTGCCACTTGATGTATGTTTTGGTGATCAACTTGCGGGTTTCGTGACATTGGGAACCTATGCATAGGGGTTGGCACACGTTCTTGACTCTCCGGTAGTAGCTTTGGGGCACTCTTTGAAGTACTTTTATGTTGGTTGGATGAATCTGAGATTGTGTGATGCATATCGTATAATCATGCCCACGGATACTTGAGGTGACAATGGAGTATCTAGGTGACATTAGGGTTTTGGTTGATTTGTGTCTTAAGGTGTTATTCTAGTATGAACTCTATGATGGATTGAGCGGAAAGAATAGCTTTATGTTATTTTACTACGAACTCTTGAATAGATAGAACAGAAAGGATAACTTTGAGGTGGTTTCGTACCCTACCATAATCTCTACGTTTGTTCTCCGCTATTAGTGGCTTTGGAGTGACCTTTGTTGCATGTTGAGGGCTTGTTATATGATCTATCTATGTTATTATTGTTGAGAGAACTTGCACTAGCGAAAGTATGAACCCTAGGCCTTGTTTCCTATCATTGCAATACCGTTTACGCTCACTTTTATCGTTTACTACCTTGCTGTTTTTATATTTTCAGATTACAAAAACCTATATCTACTATCTATTTTGTACTTGTATCACCATCTCTTCGCGGAACTAGTGCACCTATACAATTTACTATTGTATTGGGTGTGTTGGGGACACAAGAGACTTTTTGTTATTTGGTTGCAGGGTTGTTTGAGAGAGACCATCTTCATCCTACGCCTCCTACGGATTGATAAACCTTAGGTCATCCACTTGAGAGAAATTTGCTACTGTCCTACAAACCTGTGCACTTGCAGGCCCAACAACGTCTACAAGAAGAAGGTTGTGTAGTAGACATCAAGGTCGGGCGAGAGAGGGTGTGCCGTTTCGCGAGAGTGGGCATGGCATTTCGAGCGAGAGAGAGACGGTGTTTGCTTCCACGAGTCGGGACGCGTGGGTCATTTCCCCGGCGATTTCCATGTGGTTTGGGAGGGGTTTAGGGTGTGTTTGGATAGCATCCTGGTAGCATCACGCCTGGCCTGGGAGCCTTCCTGAGAATTGCCTGGCCCTTGTTTGTTTCGTGTCCTGAAAAAGTCGCTGCTTGCCTGGACCAGTAGCCCCATCACGTAGATTAGCCTGGCTGTTTACCCAGGCATCTTGCTTAGCCTGGACCAGGCGTCCAAAATTGGTAGCCTGGGTCGAAGGAAAGTTGCTTGGCGTCAAATTATGCACTTACCAGCCATTGTTGCAGGTACTTTACCAGACTATTTAACGCTCTTGTACTATTTAATACTTTACCAGGCGAGGGTATCAACCAAACACCATTAGTCCATACTAGCCTGGCCAGGCAGAAAAGTGTCACTGGACCAGGCTAAACTCAGGCAGCAAAAAATTTCCAGGCACGGTCCGAGGACACTATCCAAACAGGCCCTTACAGCCGGGTCTAAACAAAGGTTGTTAAAAGCCAGACCGGGATCCGACCCCAGCCGGGCGAAACCCACGGGGATCAGCGGGGTTTCGGCCCGATCCCGGTGGGGGTGGGGATAACCGAACAAAGCCTAAAGTGGAGGGACTAGATCGTCGTGATCCTCACAACTGATTCAACTAGCATCCTTCTCAATGGGATTGCGGGTGCGTCGATCTGGCATGCCCGTGGATTACGACGGGATGGTCTTTTATCCCCGATGATGTTTATTTATAGCTATGGATGCACTCATTCTCTTGGTTTCCAAGGCTGATGCACTGGGGTTGCTTTCTCCTTTCTCTAATGACATTAACAAACATCAACTCTATATATGAAGATGATGTGATAATTTTCATCCGTGCCTCCACTACAGACGTTTAGGTCGTAAATGTATACTTGATATATTCTGCTACGACTGGTCTTCATTGCACTCCTCAAGAGTTGGATTACCCCCATTCAGTATGGTGACGATGTGGCACTTCATTGATGTGATATGCTCAATTGCCAACTAGCTTAGTTGTGGATCACTTACCTTGGTCTTCCCCTTAGTACTCTGAAGCCTAGAAAAGAACAATTTCAAAGATTGCTTGATATCATCTGTGCGGGACTCACCTCGTGGCGGGCCGCCATTCTCACTTTCAAAGAACATTTATAAGCCTTTTTTTAGGATTTGCTGATGTTCAACTCCGCCAAGGCGGTCTGATTTTCTTGGGCTCTCCTCCTCAAGTTGTTCATATGGTTGGTTGTGCATAAGAGGATATAGATTGCTGATCTTCAAGCTAAGCGGGGACTTCCTCACAATGAGAGGTGTGTCCTCTGGTCCTCCACCCCTGAAGACGTCAATCACCTGCTAGCTGGCTGCTCCATCTCCAACATTATTTGGTACAAAACGCATGGTCCGAAGAAAAAAGTAGTAGCAATTTGGTTCACCTTAATTTTTGAGACAAACTCACAAAGCTTTATTCAACCGTCGCAAGATTTACAGGGACGAAATTCAAATTTTCGGGCAGGCCTAACCAAACATGGCGGACAAACCCGAGAGCTAAAGCAATTTGGTTCACCTAAGGCTCGACCCTTGAGAGCAGTATATTTCAACAGCGAAAAAAGAAAGAGAATCTTTGCATCCTTTGACAAGGCCTCTACTTGGCCCAGTGACCTGGTTCGGCTGCTTGGGCAGAAGGCAGCCTCCCAATTTGGCCACCACTGCACAAGTCAATGACAACGATTGCCTCACCAGCCGGCCTTGTAACCCATCATGCACAGGCTAACCGGATAGCATCTGGGTAAGAAGAATGCTAGTACTGTGGCGGAGCTAGTGTTTTCCCTATCACAGGCATTGACAAGTTCGGCCACACACTCCCCAAAAATAAACGAATAAATACGTAAGACAAGTTGGCCACATAGGCTGGGCTTTTTTTTGAAGAGAGTGGGCACTGTCTGAAGTCGCTGTCAGTGCTAAGTAGAGCGATTACGTTAATCCCTCCGATTTGAGAACTTTTTGCCGCCTGCCTGCGTGCGTTCGTGCTCTCGCCACAGGCTCAAACAAAAGAAACAATTCTATATGCCATGGAAAATTTCTTGGAAGCCGTGCGGTGCGATCCCCGTAATGCCTCCCGTGGAGGAAGACGTCACACAATTATGCCCCGCCCCGTATAGCACACGCTATCACAAAAAGGAATGGAGATCCAAACAAACAAAAAGGTGAAGATCGTGCGTGCAGGTATGGTCTCGGTTGGAACAGCCACGGCTCTCCGTGACTGACCGGTGGTCGGGCCATGCTGCTGCATGAGGCCACGGTGTCGTCATGGGCCGTGTCCTGTGGAGAGAGCCGAAGGTGGGGAAGCCTCCACGCACGTAGTGGAATCTCTAGCCATCGTCGTGTTGTAACGACGGCCTTTTCCGTCACGTTCCCAAAGTCTCCGGGAACCTTTGCGAGCGAGGGGGCAACGCGAACACAAATGCAACTGGAAAAGGGAGATAGATCGGATTCCCCGAACATAATCGTGGAGAAGAGAAGAGAGGGGAGGAGCTACGCGAACGCGAGGCCCGCGGGCAAAAAATCCCAAATCTTTTGGGCGTTGTTCTCCGCTGCTTTTCGTTTTTTCACAGCGACGTCGCTCGCTGTAGCATTTTTTACCTTTCGAAAACGGAAGCGTCGCTGTGGCTCGACCAAGGGTATATGTACTGCCGTCCAGACGTGATTTTATTCTTCTTGATTGAAAACGAGATGAAAGATGGGGTGATAAATCGTGAGACGTGGCCGCAGGGCGTTCATGGCCGTACTTCCCTCTCGGTGGCCTGTACTGCAGCTGATACGCTACGTACTAGTACTACGTCCTCCTCACCGCTTGACTCGACAGTCCACACAGCTTAACCCAAGTGCTGGCCCAGTCCCATCGACTGTATACCAAACCAAAGCACCCAGCAAAAACAAATCAAATCATTGCCAAAGCACAGCAAAGCAAAGCAAGCAAACAAAGAAAGAAAAGGAGAGCGGGCGCGCACTGGGCACGCACGGCACCGAGCAACAGAGGGAGAATAAAAGACGCACGCGTCCCGTCCCACTCAGCTCGCCGGATTTGAATAAGCCCAGCGGCCCGGCGATTGGCCCGCGCCCACGTCGCATCTATCCTCCTCCAACGATATACCAGTTGCGTGCTGCTTCGGTCGCGCCAAACGCCAGCGCCCAATATACATATGCGGAGTATTGGTCACAGCTAGTACTGGTTTTCCCCGGCGTCCCGATCTCTTTCACCCGCCTACCTCCCCTCCCTGGCTCGTGCCATCCCCACGCCCGCCACGAAAGCCGGAAAGATCTGCCCCGGATAGCGGCGGGGAGCGCTCCCGGTCTGCTGGGATTTCGGCCATGAGCTGCGGCGGCGTGGGGCACGGCGGGTGGCTGCTGGACTACGGCCTCGTGGAGGAGGAGATCCAGGCCTCCGACTTCATCTACATGGTCGACGACCCGCCGGTCTCAAGGTCAGTCAGCTTCCTTCCCTATTCTCTTCTCTTTTCGTCGATTTGGAGCTTGTTCGGAGAAAGCATGGGATTCTTGATGGTGGGCTGTGTTACTCACTGTCGGTGATCGGTCGAATATTCGGCTGGATGATGAACTTTTGTTTGCAGCGTCATACTGGGGTTCGATGCTCCCAGGAGGGAGGACGCTGCGGCGGCTGCCCAGGACAACTCCGGCGCCAAGAAGAGGTACTACTAGCTAATAATGTTCTTCTGCTCTACCGAATTTGTTGCGAGTTTTGTGATCTGCTTGCTACTTTTGGTGCTCCTGTTTGGATCATTTGGGCCTCTCTGATTCGATTGATTGATGAGAAACATACGAGTGGTAGTTGAGGGAACGCCAGTCTGTCTTTCCGGCCCCTCTGTATAGTGGCCACCAAACTTGACCCGCAGAACACTCCAAAAGTACCCGGTTGTTAGATTGCTGGAATCATCTGCAGACAATTTTGAGTCCAATAGATCATCTCACAGCTAGATAAATTACACAAGGCTGAAAACTTTTGAGACAAGTTTAAATTAGCTGACGACTTGATATGTGGCTATTTTCCCCTGTCTTCACAGCCTGGATTCGGCCTAACTGAAAGTCTGCCAGAATTATCACGGTTACTGAAAACATCTTAGCCAATGATGACGAACCACTGATGCTAAATGTCATACAGATCACAATTTTAAGACCGGAGTTTGACGTTTTTATTCTGTATGTATCTGCAGATCCCGTCCAGAGTCGAGCGCGCAGCCCGGCACAAAGGCTTGCCGAGAGAAGCTCCGGCGAGACAGGCTCAACGAGAGGTATGTTCCAGAGTTGAGAGTTTCAGTTCTATGACTGAAAATCACAGTCTCCCACTGCTTCAGTGGCCGACGTGTTCACTAGTAGCCCCACCAAATCTGATCAGCTCTGATCCACCAGGTTCAGTGAGCTCTGCGCCGTCTTGGAGCCCGGGAAGCCACCCAAGGCCGACAAGGTCGCCATCCTCAGCGACGCCACCCGCCTCCTGGACCAGCTGCGCGCCGAGGCCCAGAAGCTCAAGGCCTCAAACGAGTCACTCCAGGACTCCATCAAGAGCCTCAAGGTAAACCAGCAACGCGTTGCACTCTGCACCATTCATTCATCGTACAGAAAAGCTCAGGATCTCATGGTTGGATGTGGCCGTATGTATGCAGTCCGAGAAGTCGGAGCTGCGGGACGAGAAGACGAAGCTGAAGGCCGAGAGGGAGAGGCTGGAGCAGATGCTCAAGGGCGTCAGCGCGGCTGCGGCCGCCGCCCCGCGGCAGTTCGTCCCGCACCCGGCCGCCGCGGCCGCGCCGCAGTTCCACCCCGCCGCAGCTTACGCGCACGCCGGCAAGTTCGTCCCGGCGTACGCCGCGGGCTACCCGCCGCCGGCCGCTTTCTGGCAGTGGATACCGCCGACGTCGCTGGACACGTCCAAGGACCCCGCGCACTGGCCGCCGGTCGCGTGATTCATCAGCTCGATGACGCACGCACGGCGGCGATCGTCGGAGGATAAGCGTGTGTTGAAGCTTGCTCGTACCGTAGAAGTTGACCGAAGCGCGCGCCCGGAGATAACGTCGGGTTGCTGATGATTGTGTAGCGGTTACTATGATTGTGCTGTGGATATAATGATCCAGGGCTCGCCTGATGCGGATTCCTGGTGATCATTGCTCATTGGAGCAGTCTATGTAACAGCTCTAGTGTGATAGCGATGAATATGGTTCATAATTATAGGGTCGATGATGCTTATATAGGGAACGATGAAAATTGTGTCCTGCTTTGGATGACATTAACGCAAATATAGGAAGAATCATACACGTGCAAGAAAACAAAATGATAATCGAGCTTGACAAAAAATATTGCATTGAGTTTGATAATGCCGCTCTTCTACATTGTAACCCAACTTTACTCAAGCAAGCTTACCGAAGGTGATTATTTACCATCAAATTAGTCCGCCTGGCCCTCAATAGCGCCCTCGACCATTTGTATGTTCCTCAATGTTTCTTCTATCATGACATTTGCAAGCTTATCGGCGTGGCCGACATGGCTCTCTGTTTGCTCGTCGTGGTCGGGGATTCCTTGCTGGCTATCCGCACTGAAGTTGGAGTCACTTGCTCGTGGAGAAGTGACAATGATGACAGTTTGTGGACGGCCTTGGCGGTGTTTCTATCCACGGTTGCATGTGTGGGTCTTGTAGGAAGCCAGATCGGCCGAAGGTGCCCTTTGTGGGCGTGTCGTAGCGATTTTTTCCCGATTTTCTGTAATTAGCCAGGTAATTCTCTTCTGAGCCCTTTGAACTTCTGTGAAAAAAAAGGTGACGGACAAGACGTTCAAGTTCAAGTAACAATCGGTAGATAGTTACAGGTTCATGGTTTCACCATATAAAGATATGCCAAAAGAGACTGCCGCTCAAAGTCTACTCCGCGCCACCGCCTTGGCCCCCTTCCATTCTCCCATCTCGCGGCCTTGTGAGGATGGCCCCTCTTGTTTTCCTCAGTTTTAGTAGATCATTGTTTCCCATATGTTTTGGTACCCTGGCGTTGGTGGCATCCTGAGGGGGTTGTGATGATGGCGTGTTGAAATAAGGTCGCTTCAACCTCTCCCTATCTCGACGACGTCCGATCCGACGCTGACTAAGGTCCCATAAGGGTAGGTGTGGCCAGATTTGTTGGCTCTCTTCATATCTGGATAGTTGTTGTGTAAATCAAGACTAGATCGGAAACGCGCCTTGGCGCATGGTGCCTGGCTGAACGTGTTGTCCCAGCATTTAAACAAATGAAGTGTTGTTGCTACTCGGTATGGGTCACTTGTCAAAGTTGTCACATCCCTAACTTCTGGTAATGCTCTGAGCTAGCTAGTCATGTGTTGCATCATGTTTAAATTTTGCCTAAAATTGAAATGGGGATGTTCAAACCCTAGCATTAAATCAACTCAACTAGGGTAAGTTAAAATCTTTTTCATTAAACCCAAAATGCCCTCTAAAAATGTTCAACATTTCTGGTTAGAGGTGAAAGCATCTACCAAAAATGACTTATATTTTTGCAGGACATATTGGGCTCTGAATTAAATCATACTCTATTTGCATTTGGGCATTTAAATGCTATAAAATATTTTAAATGCCCAAATAATTCTGGAAATAAGTGTGGGCTGTTGGAAATAATCTAAATAGAGCCCCTGATTATTCCAGGATTTTTTTTAGATGCCTAAGTATTTTTAATAAAGCCCTACAGTTGCAGAAATAATAGAAAACAGAAGTAAAATAGGAAAAACAGAGAGAGGGAGAGAAACATTACCTGCAGCCCACCTGGGCCACTTACCTGGCCCATCTCCCCCGGCCGGCCCAGCCACCTCCTCCCCCTTGTCTTCTTCCTCCCCTCGCACCGAAGCAGCTCGGTGGCGAGCGCCGATGCCGCCTCGGCCACCTCCTGCTTCCACCGAGGCGTTCCCGAGCCTCCCCCTCACGCCACGCACTTCCCCTCGCCCCCTGCACCTCCCCTCTCTCCCCCCTGGACCCCATTCCCTCCTCTGTTTCCCTCTCGCGCACACCACCGAGCGGAGCTCGCCGCCATCGTCGCCGTAC